TGACTGAACACTCCAGATGCAAATCGGACTCAGATATAAACGCTTCTGACTGTTTCGACTGCGAACAGCTTTAAGCTATTTGCCGAACAGCGCCGCCATTTGTAGAAGGTGGTTGCTAACACCTAAAAAAAATCTTTACCACATGACTGATGTTAGTGAGCTTTCATAACCGGCAGTTTTGGAAAATTGTCGAAGTTCACGTCTGAAAACTGTGTTGAGTATTCCGCTGAAAAAGTACGCTACGGTCATCTCCTGTAGCTCATCTGTGACAGCCGTTTAGCTTCGCTATATCAACATCACTGGAGCATTTTTCCGTTTAGAACCACCATTGAGGACAGCGTAAAATTCGACAAGGAGTTAAAGAGTTACAAAAAGGAACCGTTCGTCACTCTTGGGAACTGAAAATTAAGCTATCTGGCTAGAAGTGAGCCCCTGCTTCTTCAGAGATAAAATCGCAAATGAAACTGCTTTGAAATGTGATCAACACGGAAGAGAAAAAACTCACAAGACAGACTTTTTTTGGCAAAATCCAATTGAAGAAATTAAGTCAGACCTCAGACTAGGTTGCTTTATGATACTAAGTATCACCTGAGTTCGTCGCACCTTTGAATCCAACCAGTGGAGCCTGGGCAAAATCGCATAATGCTCCAGCTCCTGCAACCATTACTATCATCTTAATTGCTTGTAGCCCAACAAAAGCCGTACAATAATCGAAGAAGGAGAGTGTGATTTATGGACATGGATGAATGGATAGAGAATTTTAGTTTTTAAGAACTTAATAAAAAGTTAATTACTAGGAGTTTTTCGCATTAATGTTAACAGATATTTTTTACTTTAGCTGCATAGATCACTTACACTCTTTGCAGTTCATTTCGCATTCGAGTTTAGTGGCAAAGTTGTTTCCATTTCCCCCACAACCAGAAAAATAGAACAGTTTGCAGAACTGTGACGCTTGATCGAAGTACCAACGAAGATGAGAATTTCTGCAGGTGCCTACGACTTTTGGCATTGTGCAAAATGGCGAAAGCTGGCGAGGACCTAAGTGAGAACGATCAGCAGTTGTTCTTGACAGAAGAACATATTCAGCCTCACCTACTGCTCCGACTGGAGCCATCAACAACGCTGGTTGCATGGTCCCAGCAGGGAAGCCGTAGAGCACAATGCTCGGATTCTGAGGTCCGTAAACGGGTGGTACCGGTTGCAAGTAAGAGTTTATTTGTCCGTAAGACGGTGGTGGTGGTGGCATCTGGTCAGGGAATTGTCCATTAGCGTTGCCATACGGTGGCAAGGCCATGGTCATAGCGTTGTTGGCGTACGATGGCAGATTGAGCAACATGCCATTTGAGTAGTTACCGTCGAAGCTGCGAACATTTCTAGGCCTCGCCCCATCAGCTGAAGAAAACGGTTCGAAGTTAGCAGTTTCGAAAAAGCTGCCTCTCGGCTCTTCAGGTGCAGGACAGCACCAAAAGTCCA